AGCAGCATCATCAACATCATTCCCACCAACTTCCGTGAATGACTTAATGTCATTATTCAGTTTATTGAAGTATAAAAACAATGAAAAATCATCATCAGATTCTTCATCTGTTTGATCATAAATTAGATCTTTTGAAAACATCATAAAAGCAGTTTCCTCCTCTGCTTCAAATTCATTTGGTTGAACTGGAGGAGTGGTAGGAGTATAATCGGAGAATGATAGACGAATAGTCCCATCTATTCGTTGTCGCATGGATAATGTTCGTGGTAAATTTATTAGTTGATTCTCCGTGGGCTTGAGGTTCCAATCCAAGCCTTTAAGTTGCTCCGTGGAATGTTTTGTTCCTGGTAGAGCTAGAACACCATGAGAAGCGAGATAATCCGCTATTCCAGAAACATTATAACGGAAACCAACATAACTGGTATTTGTTAATCTTGCAACAAGAGCTCGAGTGATTAAGAGATTAGATTCGCCAGCTTGTCAGTGCTGATATCCATATGTTAATACAACTAGTTCGACATGATTATAAAAATCATGTATGGACATCATTATATTAGGAGCTATATACACAAGTTGTATTCCTTGGCACAGATCAACCTCCATGGTACCTATGATAGATACATCTGATCTTCATCTTGTATCGCGTAACACAACTAAAGCAGTAGTTCCTGCATCTCTTCGATATAAGACATGCAGATGAACCATAATAAAGCCCTAGATGTATGTGTTGTATTCCTTCTTGTACGAGTCTTTGGTAAGACTGTTGGCGTACAAAAGGAAGGTTCACTTGATTATCATCTGTTACCAACACACGTTCCTCAGAATAGTGTTGATAAACACGGTGTTGCGAGACAGAGAATCCATCTTGATACAAAGTCTCAGCTGTTACAAGATTTGCTCGTTTATGTTGAGAGATTTGCAACTGTTGTTCTGGATCCAGTCGACTTTCAAGTGTCCTCGTATATGATATTCTTCTTGGCAACCTTCTCTGTAACTCATAAGCAATTCGAGATCTCATTCGATAGTCTCGGATCTGATCATCTAGATTAGAGATATGATTGGAAGAAGTACTAGGATTATTTAATACTGATGGGGCAGTAACAGTTCTTGATGAGGACATGATGTCAATTTTTCTTAGACTTTTCAGAGATGAAGATGAATTTGGGATTCTTGTAAACAAAGAGTTTGCCTTTTGGTTTTGAAATCTTAGGTGCAGATGAGATTTCAGAAATCGATAATCCCTCAATTTGTTTTCTTAACAATTCCACAGAATCAGGTTGATTCTTAAAACTATGCAAAGTTTAATCTGATCTTCAAGATTAATCAATCTATCAGATAGTTTTAAAACAAGTTGAATTAAAGTATTATTTTGTTTTACAATGGCGCTTAAAGCAGATGTAGTGTTTTGTCTAGCTTCGGTTGGATTAACAAAACCAAGAGCAGGTGGTTCAAGGGATTGAGTTGCAGTAAGTGCAGCTTTGTAATCGGATGAAAATCTTCTTGACTAAGTTGAAGATTTTCTTGGCGAAGTTGAAAATCTTCACCCATAAGGTTTTTAATTACCGATCTCTTAAAGAGAGCTAGTTGTTGTTCCAGCTGATCATTTATTGGACTTTTACTAGAGAACTCACATTGATCTTAACAGTTCTCCAATGTATGAATACCTTCCCCAACAACAAGTGGAGCCAACTCATTTGGGTGAACATCTGAGACAACCAAATGAGAGGGATTAAGAATCTCAGTAGGCTTGCGTAGAGGTGGGTTCTCATCAGGCAGTGTAAGACTATTTCCATTGTTAGGAGTGGTGATAGCAAGCAACTTATCCGTCTGGTTAACATTAGTAACATGTTCTAATAAAGTTACAGGGTCTAAAGTTACCTCTTGGGTAGCACTGCAGAATTAACATGTTCAGAAATATATGATTTCTTTGCATTATGTTCTAAAAAAACACTGTCAGAAATAATATGTTCAGGAATTGATGGTTCCTTTGCATGTTATTCAGCCATAGACTTATATGTATCCAGTTGTATTGGAATATTAGGTTTCAACTTTGGGTGTAATCTGAAGCATTTATCATGTGTGTGACCAAATAACTTACAATGATTGCAGTGGTAAAGATCTTTGTTCCATAATGATTTGTTGTCAGTGACCATTGAGAGCAGTGTCAAGTCAGATTTCTTCTACATCTCAAACTGTAATATCCCTCTCTATAAAAATCCTTGCAGCAGAAGGTCTTGACAGATTAAAAGTAGAAATGTCTAACTTCATTGGTTTTCCATGAATAGCCCCAATAACATATAATACTTGATGGTTGAAGAAGTGAAGCTTGAATCCAGGTACTTTAAACCATACAGGCACAATGAGAGGTTCTTTATTTGAATCAAAGTCAGGGGACCATTTAAGTAATTTAATATGTTTGTCCTCAATTAATATGAATTTCTTCAAGAATATCCTTGCATAGTCTTCTTCTTTGCTCAGTTGTATCATAATGTTTTCCATCAAATAGTTTCACATTCCGGTCCACAACTAGTTTGAAATCTTCAAAAACTTTCCTGATAGCCTCCATCTTATGGTGACCAATTGGAACTTTCCAATAAGTGTAAATTTATGATTTTCAGCAATGGTTTAAATTTCAATGTCAGGAAAATGTTAGTTAGCCCCCCTTTTTTCCTGTTTTTTTTATGAAGTTACAATCTCCCTATCTCGTAAATAAATCATGATACATCTGCGGAAAAACCAAACTATCCCCGAGGTGGAAAGGAGCACTGCCTTTATCAACCACAACAACATAGAATGGTTTACCCATATTCGAAGTAGGTTTAGTCACAAAAGAAGATGAGAGAGCTAAATAACAGAAGACCGCAAAAATACCAAGAAGACGCAGCAAAGATAACACCCCGACATGAACACCTCACCACAAAAAGCCGAGGCAGCGATGAACCCAACAAACCACGATCAAAACACAAAGCAGTAGAAAGGAAAAAACTCGCCCAAATCTGTCGTCGCCGAAACCCTACAACGAAGGAACTTCAAAGTCACCAAAGCCGACTTTCGACGCACAACCCCTTCTCGAAACTCTGACTCGCCACCATCTCTGCAAACGAAGGGCGAAACATTAACGAAACGTTGCTTTGCACGCTCAGCGGTCGTCCACCGTGGCATCCCCTTGCCTAGCTCCTGTCATCGCATTATATATATATATATATATATATATATGAAAGCCCAAAAAAGGCTAATATATTAAATAGAAAAAAAGATACAGATACAATGTGTGGGAGGGCCCAAACATGACACAATGTCCACACAAAAAATCACAAAAGGTTTCAAAACTAGAAAAAACAGAAAATACATTACATACTAAAATAAAAAACCTAACTCTGCCTCTAGTTTTAGGAAAGAAGCAAGCTAATAAGTTGGTAAGATGATTGTCATTGTCGGTAGTAACCAATGTATTATCCAATATGTTCTCGAGTTGGAGTCGACCATTCTGTTCTCGAGTTGGAGTCGACCATTCTTCTTCTTCCTCCTCCTGGAATAGACCTGTCATTCCTCATCTGAAGAATCAGTCTGATGGGGTGATAGAGCTGAAGCAGAAGGAATACCAACCGTAGTACCCACAATAGGTTCTAGTATATGTGAAGTATGAGTTGCCTATACACTGGATACTTCCTGAAGAAGTGGAGTTACGAGACTCTTCTGATTATCAGTCTGAACACTATCATTTGTAGGTAATAGTCCATCAGTATTATTTTCTATGGGGTTTGAAGGTGTCAGCATCACATCACTCGCAATAACAGTAACGGCAGGGGCAATAGAATTAAACACTAAAATCTGTCCTATGATAGCTTTCTCTCCAAGTGGTACAATATATTCTTAGAATCATCCTTAATCACTTGATCTTTAGATTTCAAATTAGGGTGAAACTTATGACATTTTTCAAGAGTATGCACAAACATCTTACAATGAGAACAATAATAAGGTCTATGCTCCATGACGATTTGTTGTCAATATCCATTATGCATTGTGCCCAACCAGACTTCAGTAACATCAGGCAAAGTAATATCTCTTTCCACAAGTATTCTGACCACAAAAGGTCTGGTAAGGTTGAAAGTGGGTAGATCTAGCTTCATAGGGTCTCCAAGTATGACACTAATAGAGTAGAGAACCTGATGATGAAAAAAATGCAGCTTGAGACCAGGTAGACTAAACCATACCAGTACAGTAGGAGGTCATGATTGGGGTCAAAATCAGGAGACCACTTGAATAGCTTCATTAGTTTACCATCAATGTTAAGATATTATTTGGAGAAAAACAAGCTCAAACTTGAACATAGGCCCAAGCTCGATTGGAGCTTCAATTTTATAAACAAGCTCGAGCTTGAACCTAGCTCTCCTCAACTCAACTCGGTTCCTTTGCAGCCCTTTAGGCATGTTTACTGTTTTGTTTGTCATTTTTCTTGTATTGATCCTTGTTTGCATCTCAAAATGCCATGAGTTGATGTATCGTATGTCATCTAGGAGTAGCTTAGTGTTTTTTTTATTTTTCCTAGGTTAGTTGTTCTTTGAAAAAAAAATTGTCAGCTTTTAAAAATTATAGCCATGCTTATTTAATTATGGCAGATTGTCTGAATTATTGGAAGTTTCGATGCACTTTTTTCTTGTAGTAAACACAGTAGCTACGTGCTTCATGACTCCTTACCTAGGCTGCATATCATGGAAACCTTAGGTTATGGGTTGAGGTTTATTTTTTCATATATGTGCATTCTACAATAGAGCTTTTGGTCTTGGGACTCCTGCAAGTTTTTGTTAGGATTTGATTGCCTTTTTTATTATGTGCTTGATACTCTATGCAAAAAGGGTTTTATTTATGCATATGACATCTTATTTACCAATATTTTTTTTTTATTTGGAGGCTTTATACTTTTGTTTGGTGTTTCCAATAGTGTGTTTATTGGCTAGATTTATGACTATGGTTTTGTATTTTATTTATGCTGGTTATAGGAGAGGCTGGCTGGACACCAGACCAGTGGGGTCATTCACGTTACAGACCAGCGAGTGCTGTAGATGGAGTTGTTTATCGCCAGCAGCTAAATGTCTTCATGCGTGGTCTTCTAAAGGCAAGTTCACTCATTTTGGTTTCCTTTTTTTTTTGGTTTTGATTAAGTTTGGTTAGCAGGGGATTTAAGAGACCGAAATACAAACCGACTGATTAAATTTCATAAAGGATTGGAAGATATACATATATATCACTCAGCTCCTATTTTTTTTACATTCCTAACACCTATACTTCAAGTTCTACATATATTTCACCATACCTATGCATTAATAGGTGTATTTACACTTTTTAAAATTTAAAATGGTGGTATTTTGATGTGATGTAAATGATTTGGGTGGTATAAATGTAAGAAGTAAACTTTAGGTGTTAGATATGCAAATACATAGGAATCAGGTGTTTTTTATGTAAATGCCCCTAAAAAATTTTATTGGCATTCATTGAAGATAAGGTAGCTGAAAATAGAATTTGGTGGTTTGGACTTGATCAATGAAGGATAGAAATGAAAACATTACGAGTACATAAAATTACTGTCAAAGCGTTAGAAGAGAGGAGTAGACCAATTATCAAATGGATAGAAGCTGTTTTAGATGATTTGTTATGAATAGGTTTAACACCTTAGATAACACTCCACAAATAATTTGTAAAATGAGGTTCATAAAGTTAAATTCCAAATAGTTGAGATAAAGACTAGTGATGATGATGGTTGACAAATAAGTTTACTATGATTTCTTGCATGATATATCCGTTGTAACTTAGAAAGTAGCTTGTTAAGTATAAATTAATGTGTTGCATAAGCCAGGGGCATTAAAATGAACACCCTTTTATATTGATTTCATTTGCAGTGATAGATGGAATATATTTGTCATTCAATCAGTCGGTAATTTCACTGCTAACGGAATTTTTTTGTTAAGTGTGGGATAATAAAAAGCAGAATAAGCATGCAACTATCAGCATTTTTTTTCCGAGTAAAGTGCTAAAATAGTCCCTTGACTATTTACATGGGGTCATATTAGTTCAAGTCTATAAAATGCCAAATTAGTCCCATACTTTTTTAATATTGGCCAAAATAATTCCCAAGAGGGATTATTTTAACCCTCATTAATAGAATCTGGGGAGTAAATTACCTTTCTGTAAATTATGGGAGTAAAATGACGCCCTACAAAGAGTAACAGAACTATTTTGGCACTGTTTTTTTCTCCCCCTTATGTGCGCTCACTTATATCGGATTGGAATTCTGTCTTACAGTGTGTTTTCTGATAGATGATTTGTTTAATAGGATCTGATGTCTTACAGTGTGTTTTCTGATAGATGATGAACGAACACCCTGATGCTTGGCCATTTAAGGATCCAGTAGATGCACGTGATGTGCCTGATTACTATGATATTATTAAAGATCCAATGGGTATGTGATTTTTCTTTGTGTTAGCACAAGTAAATGGTGTTTGATAATGCTTCCTAAATTTGCGTTCAATAGGCATATGTCTAGGCTAGCTTGTTTTAGAACTTCTAATATTTATTTTTAGTCATAGGGAATTTTTTTTGGAAAATTTACATACATACCACTCAATTCCTATGTATTTACATATCTCACACCTGAACTTTAAAATTTGCATACAATTCGCCTTACCTATGCATGAAAAAGTGTATTTCACTTTTTAAAGGTTAAAATGGTGGTATTTTTAATGTTTTATGAAAGTTTTGAGTGGTATAAATATAAAAAAAACAAAATTTTAGTGTTGGATATGTAAATACAAGAATTGAATGGTATGTATGTAAATGCACCCCTCTCCCCTCAAATCCCCCCCCCGCCTCCCCTCCTGCCAACTCTCTTTTTTTGTGTGTTATTGTTGGAATGGTTTTAAAAGAATGGCTTTAGTGGTGAAGCTCAGTAAAACATGAACACCATAGGACATAGAGATTTCACAGAAGCCATGTTATTCTACAATAACGCAACAATTTTATCTAGAGGATATTGATATTAGAGTTAACCCAAATCACGACCAAACGACAATATTTTTGCTGAATTTCAATGAATGTACAAGACGACTTTTGAACAGAAACATCACAAGAACGGGTAAACAATAAACAATAATGACAACTACAAAAAGAGGAAAGCAAAACAACCTAAAAGCTAGAAATGGCGCCCTCTAAAGGAGGGTGGCAGATCCAGAAGGCAGGAAGGAAGTTGCCGGAAGAGCAGGGAAGGTCGGTGCGGTTGCTGGACGGGGTTTGGATGGCTGGACAACAATAGGAAACAGAAGGACCGGCTGCTAGAAGGCTGTGAGATGGCTGGACAGTTGTAGGAAACGGAAGGACCGGTTGCTAGAAGGCGGCTGGATGGATGGTCAGCAGCAGGAAACAGAAGGACCGTCTGCTGGAAGGCGGCTGGTTGGGTGGACAGCAGTCGGACAGGAAGATGGCAGCAAACAGTAACCGGAATAAATGAAAGATAACTATCTCTACGAGATCGAGTTAAAGCCGGAACACCCCTCAAACCTTTAGATAAGATCACCGCCTCAGACGAGTTATAGTCGGAGCACCTCTTGCCGTTAGGTACAACCTCGGAAGGGAGAAACGCCTCAAAGGCAGCAAACTAAAATTAGAGCCAATCCAAAAACTAACTCTAAAGCACTTATACAACACAGAAAAACACATATAAAAATTGCTAGGAGTTAGAATAGGAAGAAATTGGAATTGGAAAGAAATAAAAATAGGAAAGTGGATAGAAAAGGCAAGCTATAGAATAGGAAAGAATTGGAATTGGTATTATAAAGAATTAAAAATAGCAAAAGTGGATAGAGAAGGCAGTCAATAGAATAGGGAACGGGATCCTATCTACGAGAGGGATTAGATTAGGTAGAAAAGACGAAAAAGTGGGTTGGATGGCTGGACAACAATAGGAAACAGAAGGACCAGCTGCTAGAAGGCTGTGAGATGGCTGGACAGTAGTAGGAAACGGAAGGACCCGTTGCTAGAAGGCAGCTGGATGGATGGTCAGCAACAGGAAACAAAAGGACCGTCTGCTGGAAGGCGGCTGGTTGGGTGGACAACAGTTGGACAGGAAGATGGCAGCTAACCGTAACCGGAATAAATGAATGTTAACTATCTCTGCGGGATCGAGTTACATCCGGAGCACCCCTCATACCTTTAGATAAGATCACCGCCTCAGACGTGTTACAGTCGGAGCACCTCTTGCCATCAGGTACAACCTCGGAAGGGAGAAACGTCTCAAAGGCAGCAAACTGAAATTAGAGCCAATCCAAAAACTAACTCTAAAGCACTCATACAACACATATAATAATTGCTAGTAGTTAGAATAGGAAGAAATTGAAATTAGAAAGAAATAGAAATAGGAAAGTGGATAGAAAAGGCAAGCTATAGAATAGGGAGGAATTGGAATAGAATAGGGAAGGGGATCCTCTCTACGAGAGGGATTAGATTAGGTAGACAGGACGAAAAAGGGGCAATAATTCCTGCCCTAAGCAGACTGGCTAGTCCAGCCTCTTGATGGACCAAAATTTGTCCCGACTGATTCAGCCAACCATCCAAGGAGCCCCGCGTTAGTCTTCTGGGCTTAGGAGAGCTTCGCTTTATCCGTCAAAGCTTCTGTCAAAGGAAGAAGAATGATGTGCTTGCCCTCTTTGGTGAAGGAGTAGGTGTTCCTGAAGCTGTTGCGCAGAGTTCTACAGTAAAATTGCCATGTTCTCCCCAACTAAAGGTGGCAGGCATCCGCACCTGGTCTTATAGTTGGAGTCCTTCGAGAACTACACTTGACACCTGTTAATGCTGACCCTGTTTCTTTATTCAGCCATGTCAGCGAACATGGCTTGGTGTGTCTCTTAGCCATGAGTCCTAACTTTTCTACCATCAATGTAAATATCACATTCTTACTGCTCCCTCCATTGATGATGAGACTGCATATCTTTCCATTCACAGTGCAATAGGAGTATAACATATTGTAAGGAAGAAACTGTGAATCCCTTGTATCAATTTGTAAAACTCATCGAATAATGAGCGTCTCTCCTTCATCCAATGTGAGATGATATACCTCACATTATTCCTCAGCTATCTCCTTGTCACTAACCTCCTCCACGATGCCCTGCTCAGTGGAAGACACAACTTGGCTTGTCGGACAGCTGGAGGTAGGGGTGTAAACGAGACGAGCTTGAGCGAGCTTGGGCTCAGCTCGTGTTTGGCTCGTTAAAAAATATCACTATTCGTGTTCAACTCGTTTATATATCGAGCGCAAAATATTTGTTATGAGTTTTTTGTGAACAAAGAATAGTTTTGATAGTCTTAGTCACGCAATCATAGGATGTTAAGGATAAGGGTGAGATTTAAATATATTATTTATATTAAAACATTCACTTAAATAGAATTTAATATATTTTTATTCATTCTTTTTTAATAAATAATTTTAATTAATTATAAATCTTGTAGCCTTGTTAGGAAATTTATTTAAAAATAATACACATATATACTTTAATTTTTCAAGCCAAAATAAATCGAATATGGATGAACAAATTTCTATTTGTGTGGCTCGTTTATATATCAAGCACAAAAATATTATTCTTATTCGACTCGTTTGCTTAGGGTTTATTTGGGATCACTTTCAGTTTTTTTATTTTTATATTTATTTTTAGTTTATTTTTTCTTTTACTTTATGTTTTGTATTTTTAAAAAGCGTGTTTGGTACTATTATGATTTATATATTTTTAAAAATATAAAATATAAAATATGTTTGGCTAACGCGGCTAGCGCGGTAGCGGCAGGCGCAGCGGCTGATAGCGACAGTGGGCTGTGTCTGGCAGGCAGTAGGAGGCAGGCGACGGCGGAGACGGTGAGAAAGACAGTGGCAGGTGGGGGCCGACGGTGGGCGGCTGTGGCGGAGGCAGTTGGCGGGCGGCGATCAACAGACAACAGCTGCAAGGAGTGGTGGGGGGTGGCGATCGTCGGAGGCGGGGGGGGA